GAAGTAATACCGAACAGCCAAATTTATATATGTTACACACGTAGGGCTAATCTTGTTACACTGTTCAGGGGAGTCTCAACAATCATCCCAAAGTACCGTTTTCTGCGAGTTTTGGGCCTTTGTTTTCACCGCCGCGGGTTGCCAGGTTTGTCTTCTCGCATACCATCTTCCATCGCGTACCGGCGTTTTACGATTTTACAATAACTATCAGACATAAGTTCGGAACAAACACTGCGATAAAGACTTCCCGTTTTCGACATTGTGAAATTCTTTCGTTTTTATGCAGAAAAATACAGTATGTTTACCAAGTAAAATCATATTTATTATAGTTATTGTTCATACATGAGTTGTTGAACATACTAGTTAGTTTGTAATTCCATCCAGCTTCTTTCAGTCATAATTCAAGACAAATAACAGGCTAAAATATTGGGATTATTGCAATTTATCTTTTTCTGTAACATTCTTGTGTAATCGGTAATCATGAAAGTTATTTATGGGTGCACAGGGAATATATTTATTTATTATTCTTAATGTAAATTTCTGAATAACCTTGTCAAAGTCATTTTTTCAGGCTTTTTTCTCCCCAAAAACAAAAAAATTTCACAATGCCGAAAACGCAAAGTCTTCATAGTAGTGGTAGCAATTTATTTGTGTGAATCTGACACTTCATCCAATGCTTACCTAACACTATAGAACACATCACCATTTGGATAAATTCGTAAAAATAAATTGTCTTTGGTTGTTGTGTGTACAGCGGTATCTTTAGCGTTCTCAAAATACAGATCAGGAACCCAAATGGCGTCCATGATATTACCATTCATGTTGATGAATCCTGTGGCATTGAACTGTAATCTGGGGTCGTTCCAGTGCTGTCGAAAATACGTCGTTATAGAATAGTCCTGTAATTAAATCATATGAAAATATACCGGTATAATAATTATACAATCCACGGTGTGGTAGCAAAATGTTCCGTAATTGGCTTGCTCATTAGATTTCAAGACCACCTAACCAATCAGGCGTTCCGTGATTGGCTTGCTTGATAAATATTCAGATCTGGGTTTCTTCACGTGTGCAAGAAGCCTCTACTGTAACAGCAACTTATGGTCATATTCTCTGCCGCCGTCGCGTCTATAATGTGCTAAATGCCATAGATCAAGGGGAAGAGTGGACGCGTGCGATGGCAGTAGAGAACAAGGCTTTCCCACTTTCAGCGCAATCGTTGCGGTCATTCGATAGTGTAAAAGTCATGATATACGACACTAACTGATATATTCAAATACAGTCCGGTTATATGAGAAAATACCATAACTTCGACGAAACAATTAATGCACCAACATACACGTTCTTTCCATTGATCTAACTGAACATTCGAGTCGGTCAATAACTTTCAAGTTCGAATTATATCATATTCAAGGTTGGATTATGGATATTTATAAACGATTCGATATGTAACTAGTTCAAAATAAACCCTGAAACGTTAATGACACATCTACATGGGGCAAGTAAACCTTCACCAGGG